GTCTATTTGTTTGCTCCGAAACTAGGACCCATTTTTTTAAATTCTTTCTCTTGCTGTAAGCTACATCATACGCGGGTGACATACGGCTGGTTTCCGAATTGAGTAAATTAAAAACCCACAACTGATTATAACTCATTAAAAAACTAAAATGAGAAACAAAAACCTGTTTAATTGATATTTCAGTACAGTTTAAAACGTTCTTAACTTTAAATTCTCAATTCAGAAACCTGGTGATAGGCTATAATTTACGCGTGTGAAGTCGCGGCAAACAGTTAGTATTTTATAATTTATTTTAACCAAGAGATATTTTGTTTCTCGCTTATTAATCGCTGGCACCTTAAAATAATTTTTATTGTTGGTTCTTTTATGTAAAATTTTGTTCTTGATAAATTACTAATTTTGTCAAAAATTTAGCTATAATTTATTAAAAAATAATGCTAGTCTAATATTTACAGAACAAAAACACGTTTGAGTTTAACTTTCGTAGTGTTGCTTATTAAACGTCAGTTATAATTTAAAGGAGCTATAAACCCGAAGATTGTTGAGAACAAAACAAACCCAGAGTTATTTATAGAGATCAGATAAGTGGATTTATACAAAGAAACGTGGAAAGTGCTAGAAATTAAGTGAAACAAAACGTGTTAGGAGTTCATAAAAGGAGTTTTTATTTGAACTTACTGTGATCCGTAGATTTCTAGTGATAAATGGGCAAAATGAGCCATAAAACAAAGCCATTTTGCACAAAAATAATTTAAAAGAAAAGAAAACTATAGTACTTATAAGACTCACTATGATAACATTCATAACAATCTAAGAATACCTAGCATAATAAATTATTCAATGAGTAGTCGTTAGCGGTAATTGTGAACGCGACTGTGGTAATCGATTGCCGACTCAATAATTATTACTATAAAATACTAATTCGAGTCTTTTTGTGGAAATACATTGTCATTGATAGTTCTGGGAACTTGTTTGTGAACAGATATCTATGCTTTATAGCTTTACTAGTGGACGCCCGCGACTTCGTCCGCGTGGAAGTCGGTATCCCGTGGGAGTGAGAAGTTTTCCCAGTAAAAAGTACCCTATGTGTTATTCTGATGTATAACCTATATTGCTGTAAAGTTTTATCCAAATCCGTCCAGTAGTTTTTTCGTGAAAGAGTAACAAACATCCATACATCCATACTTACAAACTTTCGCCTTTATAATATTAATAGGATAATTAATACAAATGAACAATAAACATACAGAAGAATTTCGAGCCTGAAGTGGTAATCGGCAGGACCCATAACTCATAGAATATATGGTCGTGGGGGCAACTAAGTCCTCATGCAGCCACATCCACTGAATAACGGAATAAAGAAGTTAGACTTCCCACAAGTCAGACTGACAATGGTCAGGATCGAATGGATGACGCTTTGGTAGTGGACCGCGCAGGTATGATGATGATAAAAACATCCTGTTATAATTAGCTTAGAAGTTTTATAACAGAACGTCAAGAACTATCTTCAATTTACGACGTTAACGTGAGCACTTTTACTTAACTCTCACTAAACTGTCGAAATAAAGCATGTCAACAACAACGGATTCAATAAAATATAATTTAATGATAAACGGTTAATCTTGGAAATATAATATACCAGGGAAAAATATTTTTATTCCCTCTACACGTATAAATTGATATAATACACCACACTACTATCGCAGTGATATAAGCTTCTATTTTATCCGAGACCTAATCATGACATGGCGGATTTCCCCGGAAACGTTCCTAAATCCGAAGCTCTCGGTATTAAAACCTCGTTGGATAAATACACCGATCCGCCCTTGCTCCAGTTCCGAAGGTTTTCTATAAAAGGTATGACTGCATATTGTCATGACGACTTATTGGATTATTGTGATAAGAAATAATATCGTATCGCTGAAACAAAGCCTTCCAGGTCAACAGACCGTGTGGGCTTACTAAGCACGTGAAACAAGGAGGAAAATAAAGAAACGGGCCCAACTGTACCACGTAATATTTTATCCGACCGCAGGCATCTATTACGCTCGTGTCAGTCCGTAAGGGCCCTTGTGAACGACAAAAAAAAAACAAATCTGTTTGATCGTACACGGGTTCGTTATATTGCTTTATGTTTTATCAGCTTGCTCCTTTATTAAGCTCTGTCCCGATATCTCGAGTGCTTATTTAATATTTCTGTGGCTATATGTGTCTTAGATTAAATTACAGACAATCTGAATATTGAAGGATGATCGAAAGGTGTAAGGACCAAACACGTTTTTTTAATTTATGGCTTTTTTTATTTCTTTAGTGGATATTACTTAACCCTATCAGCAAACAATGTATCATAATTTACTAGCTTTCCGTCTCCATGGAACTGTTTAGTGGGATAAAAAGTAGCTCATATGTTAATACAGGTATAGAATTATCTGTTTACCAAAGTTCATCAAAATCAGTTCTGTAGTTTTTGTATTAAGATGTTACAAACATCCAAACTTACGAACTTTCGCTTTTATGATAATAGTAGGCTTTAATAGCTGAATGTATTCTTATTAATTAAATTCACGTACATTGTTAAATCTAAGGGACTTTATATCTAGGGACACTAGGCCTTATTATATCCCTATTGCTGGGGTATAGGCCTACTCTATGGACGGAAATTGAACTGCACCCAATAGGGAGAAATGGCCTTGACACAAACATGAGCTGAAACTAACTGGTAGGTAAGTGAACCTTCCAAAGCATGGAGGAGCTCGAGATAAGTATTTGACCATTTAGATAAACCATTGAGGTATCGAGAATTCTCATTTACTATCATGAGTTTGTAAAAAAGATCGGATCATTTTCATCTAGAAGAATTAACGTTAAAATATATTAGTCGATTCATATTTAATTAAATAATGTTGCGTCATAACCGCCGTGCAGCAGGTTTCGGGTCCCATAATTAAAATCGGATATTGTTATGACTCTTCTTTGGCTTTAAATTTAAGCGGAAGTATTTATGCTACAAATATTGTAATTAATTTATCAAATAATTATAACATTACCGTGTATAAAAGTATGTAATCAATCACTTTTTAAATATAAACATCCAGGAAAAAATAATCTAATGACCTTGTCAACGCCTTGTATTCACTACAAAACCTGAATTTATATTTATTAATATATTCCTATATTCAAGTCCATCAGAACATCAATATTTACAACCATTCGATTAATCTTTCATTTCATAGATTACTGTATATTGCGATATCTTTCTTTAAAATACAGAACTTCGATATATGCTTTTACTTTTCCCGAGAGCATTGCCCACACTATTGTAAAATTTGATTACAAATCATAAGTGATATTCACTAGTGGAAAGATGATATTTCGTGTTGCTCATTGATTAGATTCGACGCTGAGCAAACCAAGCGATAGCACCACAAAAGGTCGTCGATGCGACGTTCGGCCACACTCGTTTTCCATTCGTTCCGCTCTGTCCAGAAATTTTCGCAATAAAATTAATCGTTCCAATAAAATCGGAGCCGAATAGATCCGTCCATGCATGAACACTTTTTAATTGGGTCGCTTTTTTACTTCTTTTTTTGCAAGCGACCAAACGAGAAATCGAATTGAGCCGAGATACTCAGGAAGAGACTAACTTTTAAGATGTCGAAGTAACTACCTTAAGTTTTAAAGTGAGGTATCTCACTGGTTATTTGCCTACACTATTCACTGTATCAATAATTCCTGCGATCCATCTGTTCCTGTTTTAATTTTACTTTGTGAATACTCCGTTTGAAATATCACAACATTGAGTGCTCTCAATCAAAGTGAGCAATTTGTTGCGTGTAAACGCAGCTCCCAATGGATTGCATAAAATCAGGCAAAAAACATGGAATAACCGAATCGTGGCACAAACGAAAATATATCTTGCCATTTTCATTTTCGACAAGCAATCGGGTTTAATGGGTTGAGCCCGATTCCCACTTGAGTTTGTTCGATTTGTTTCATTTGATCGCTTCGGCGATTCATGGCGAGGTGTGGCTGGGAATGGCTGTAATAAAAGCTGGTAAAGTGCGATCAAAATCACGTATTAAGGATTACATTCGGAATGTGTCGAGCTTAAGTTCTATGAATATTTAATGGGCAAATAACACATTCATAGTAAAAGCAATAACCATAAACGATTTTTATTATGACGTCAATACATTAAGGGCAATTAAACAATGAAATAGCTGTAAATTATTAGACAGTATAATGATATTTAAGAGGGTTATATTTGAATAGCTTCTATTATCAATATCAACGATTTTGTTAATTCAGAAAGAAGCTCGTCAGGCTTATTATATTTTTTAACTTATTGGTATAAAATGAAATACCTTACTTTAAACTTATTGTTTAGCAAAATAAAGGACTATTTCAAACGAAGAGTATGACGATGCACTGTTGACTGTATTTGAGACTATGGAGGTTAACAACATTTGTAATTGTTGGGTTTGGAATAAGGGGCCTTAAATTTACTATTTCGAACTCTATGGTTTAGAAAGCATAACGCCTCTTTTATCGATTCAAGGAAGCTATTTACAAAACAAGCACGCTTTAAATCTTAAATATTTCTTTTGCTATATATTTTATCGATTTTGCATTCAAAATTGAATTCTCCTCCAAATACATGTGATTCCCATGCTCTATGTATCCATTTAATTTTTTTGAAACTCTTATTAGTAACGGAAAAATACAACCCTTTAGTTATCTATCTGTTCGCCTGAAACAGCCAACCTTATAATATATAAAGCTAAGAAGTGTGTTTGTTTGGTTAAACATACTAATGTAATTACTTAGGGTTCGAATTGAATAAATATGTTTGTATTGAATAGTCTATTTAATGTGGAAAGCTATGGGCTAACATCACGCTATGACTATTACGAGTGGAGCAGCAATTAAAAGTGTGGAAAAAACGGGAAAATCACGCGGTCGCTGGAGAGAAGCTAGTTGAAATCTAAACGTTAACTTACCCAAGTCTTCGGCATCCTCGCTCCACTCGCCCTCTTGCGCCCAGCACGCAGCCAGTAACACAACCAGACGCCACTTTACAGACCACATTGTACCAATTACTTATCACATAATGATATCACAAATATCCGTCCACCATCTCATAACATTGTTATGTTTCCATTCGCGCACTACGTAACACGACAGTCATATAGCGCCGTCTCACTTCCTCCGAGCACCATGTTTATATTTTAATAACACAAGGCATATGGATTATACAGCCTGGTTAATGCTTCTGCAACCCCGGATCCTGCGTTTGCAATAACACGAGGCATAAACAAAAAAATACACTGAGCCCCGTCATATAACTGAGTTCAGATTATTTTTTCATTACTCCTTTTATTTTTTTTTTCACGAGGCACTTGAAAATGTACAAAGCGTTGGTTTGATATTTTTATTTATGTGAAGTTTGTGTATATTATTTTGGGAAAAGATAATGAGATAATTAAGTATTACTAGATGCTCAATATGTTTGTTTATAGTTCTCTAAATGTAGGTACCCAATCTGCGCAATTAATTTATGGTTTTGCATATAAATTAATCTGAAGTTTTGCCTTATTTGGTATATTGAAATTGCTTGTATACAGATATTAATATGTATAGTATCTTCATTTTATAAAGTTAATTATTTCACGCAACAGGTAGGTAACGGCGGTTTATTTAAGGGCTAATAAAATTGCAATTATTTGGTTATTAGGATTTCAGCAAAATTATATATTCAAATAATGTAACCAAAAGAAAAACAAAGGTTAAATTTCAAATGAACCTTAAAAAAGTTTATTATACGATACATAAACGAAAGTCGTGCATTTCAAGCTGTTCCATATAAAAGATGAATGACTGCTTCTAATTAAGTTGTGTTCTAATATTAAACTTGCCCGTAATATACATATTTCGTGAGCCATGAATACTTCAGTTATAGTAAACCTTTTAATTACCTATACTATAAAACATAAATCATTGACACTATGAAAATTAATAAGCACAATAATTGATGGAGCTGAATTTTACGACTAATATTAATATGCCGTAGTTTCTCTTATTAGCAGACCATCAATTCTTTTTGGTAATATTATACGTATTGAGTGAACTCTTTGTTTTTATTTGTAAAACTCTTTTTTATATAAATATTGGGTAAAATATCAAACGTGTCATGTATGGAAATTTAAATAGAAATTCAGAATTTATCTAAATTAATACTATAAAGAACTTCCTTGGTAAGTTTCTTTGGCACAATTTATTTCAAGTGATATTTATAATGATATTTTAATAGCAGATAAGGATAAAAAAGTATACTCCAATTCCAACCTTCAAGGTTCGTTATTCAATACATTGGTAGATTTTTACAAATATGTTACATAAACGAGACTGACAGATTCAATAAAGTTTTAAATTTCTCACGTATAAGTAATATATTAAATTAAGTAAAATGAAAGTTTGCGTGAGGAAGGTATTCGTCTCGATCCAAGGGACCTATTTCGAAAACTTAATACAGTATTCGATTAATATTTTTGTTTCAATTTCTTAAGATTTGTCAAAAAAGGAGTGCTTGCTCTACTTATGCAATATGATGATGAAATATCGTCGATTTTTAAAGTTATTTTAAATATTTAGTAATTTTGTTCTACAAAAGAAACAACACTAGGTTCTCTAGTCGAAAAAACCATCTATAAAATAGTAATTAAATAATTAAACTATAGTTGGACATCCAAATCATTATACATTAAAACAAAAAACAATAATTACAATTAATAGATTGTAATTATTGTTTTTTTGTAAATATATGATAAGTTAAAGAACCTTTTTATCATAAATATATTTTTAAAGAAAAAAATAAAAGACTTTTTAGTATCCACTAAAACATCGCTTAGTTCAATGTTGAAACTAAACAACGGAACCAATATAGATAGACAATCAAATTGCATTATTTTAATGAACCATTTTTTTAGAATCAGCAAAGTTTTTAAGAAAGTACATAAGTGTTTAAAAATTAAACATACTTGGATTGAGTTATCGCGTATAATGTTTAAGAATAGACTCCCTTCTGTAATTTTTCGAATGCGGCATGGAAACAAAATGTCGGACATGATTTCCAAGAGGAAATTGACTTTCATTTGATTTCGACAGTCGACGTGAAGGAATCTGTTTTGTGTGGTGTTTTTAAGGAAATTGCCGTTGTACTTATTTTGTCTATAAAGATTTATAACCAAAACAGACAATACTCAAAATGTATGGGAAAATCTTATGAAATATATAAATGAGTAAGTAAATACTGCATAGATGGCTAAATGTTTGATATTGCTATTCGAATTTTGATATAAAAGGAGCATTAATAGTAAGAGAACTTGCATTTAAAAGTGTAAACAATATTATTACAAACACAACGTAGTCATTCTATATTGACAAGATTAACATTAAATAATAATTATAGGTGATTGATAAAGACTGTGATTGAAATCAAATCTTGCTGTGTTTCGCTCCATCAAAAGTTACTGAGAGATAGCGAACACATAATAAATAGAGATACATGAGAGAGAGAAAGAGAGAGAGAGTTTTATACAAAAAAGTATTGTTTTCCATAAAGGTCAGTTTATTAGTACCTACACTGAATACGAACCAGAGACAAAATTTGAATAGCAATATCACACATTAAGCCATCGATATTGATGATGCCTCCTATGCAGTATTTAATTCCTCATTTATATCTTTAATATGAGTAACATTTCGTTTGCGCAGGACTTGGGTTTTTTTGAGCATCGTCCTTTAGTTGATTAAGATGTTTTTGGAAAAATTTCTAACTATTGATATTAGAACAAAGGTTTAAATAGTGAACAATTCTGCCATTGCAGTAAAATGCTTACACATATTGTATTGTATAATTTAATATTTATATTATTGGATCATAGGCGTTTGCTTCATCGTCATTATAATTATTTTATTGATAATAAAGTGAATTTTTTCACAAAAATAAATTAAAAACTGGTTGGTATACTCGCATATGTATATCATAAAAAAAACTTTCAATTAGCGATACAAATATATCGTAGTGGTTGCGCACTATTCAAATACATTAGATAATAACTACATATTATGCATAAGATTTATATAATTAAAAATAAATAAAAAATCTATTTGTTGTTACATCTATTCTAATTATTGTGATAGATCTTTGAGTTCCGGTAACTTGCACGTCTGTCATGATGTCATCATGTTTAATGCCTTCGGGTTGATAGCTGAGCCGAGTAAATATGACTATGTGTTTTCCGGATGCCTAAAAAGTATATTATATTGTTTAGGGTTATATTATATTGCTTCCCGTCTAAAATTTAATAATATATTAATTGTATTATCGACTATGAGTTTTGAGCCTTTACCTTGGTGTCAAAACAATGAATTTATATACACAAATGTATTGCTTTGACTCAAAGTAAGTAGCTAAATATGAATCTTATGTTATTTTATAATTTGTTATAGTATGCCAATATTTCAGAACCAAACAACAATTTCCAGTTACGAAATATTTGCTTTATATTAAGAATTTATTTAAAAAGTAAATGGATTTAGTAAAACGATATTCAGAACATGTGCATCTAAATCATTAGCCTGTCCTATTACCATAGAGAACGTTACAGGCACGTATGTAACATAAGAAAAAAAATCTTAGAAATATGAGATCGAAAAGTTACAGAATGAAGTATATATCAAATCGCAATTGGCAATTCGGGATAGGAAAGGTTCGCCCTATAAAGTACGTGAGGCGGTCAAAAACAAACTTGTGCAATAAATAACCCGATCGGATAAGAGAAAGGTACGCACTCAGCCATTTTATATTCAATAAAAAATGAGATTAACTGAATTGTCTTACGATACACTTTGACAGGACATTTATCTCGTTAGTGTATTCCGTGTGTGATTATATTTTTTCGCGTTCGTTCTTTTCTATTCAAAACATAATTCTTATTTGACTTTAGATACCATTTTATAACGTAAGGTACTTAAATATAAAAAGAAACCAGAAAATTGAAAAATTACGCCCCATTACCGCTCTGATACACACTTTATACTTATTATATTTCGGTTTAAAAACAACTTACGTATAAAAATATAATTAATTTGATTATTTTATATTAATAGTGATTTCAGTGTTGTCCCTTTTAATTTAAACATGATCACTTGTTACTATTAGTGTTAAGAATAATTATAATTGATGATGGAATATACCAATTTTATATATAACTATTTAAACATCTTGTCACTATATTTACTTTAGTTATTAAATTATGTAGTTTGAAGTTCACAAGGGAATAGATGAAAATGCAGTTAAATGTAAATATAACGTAACTTTATTAGGTAAGGTCTTTGTTGCTTCGACATCAAATTATGTTAATTCTTCTAATCTTATTACTTCAAAAGTGTGATACTTTTGTATCTCAAATCAAAACCGATCAAACAGACTAAAAAAAATGTGCTACATTGACCAATATTCATGACGAGGACGAGAGAAACAAATATTGGGATCGGCCGTAAAGTGCTATATAATCATTAAATCTATGCTTAGTATTTCAATACTAAAATGATCACAAGTAGAGAAAATTTGCATAAAACAAGCATCAATACAATTACGAAAATGTTTAACTTAATTATAATACAAATTTTAGCATAGACATAAGTTATTTATATTTCTTTTACTTATGTTATTACTTCTCTTATACTCGTTTTTATAGTTGTATCTATAGATACGAGTGTAAAAGACTGTATACAGTCGCACATTTTTCTATCCAATATTAAAGTTAATCAAACTTCATAATTCTTGCAATAACTTAAGTTACAGCCCAACAAAAGAAAACAGCCCATCTTGATCTCGACGCAACACTCGGGCGATACCAAAAGTACTTGCAGGCTTTCACGGAAGAATACAATCTCAACAATAACTTCTCTCAACCTCATCATAAGGTTTTGAACCTTTCCATTTGACCGAATATAACACAACTTAATCGAAAAATAAATTTTTCGTTACTGTTCCTAACCTTTCTGGAAACTTTTTTATTCGC